TGTCTCTCAAAACCATGAATTTTTCAATCTGTTTGCATATAAATAATCACATTATATTTCAGTGAAGCTGTTTTCACTTGGACGCGTTTTCGCTTCCTTTCTTTTTTTAGTTCTTTTTTTGAGAGTGAAACATTTTGAAACTTAGTAGTAAACATGACTGAATATGAGGAATAAATGAGTATAGAATTAAAATTGAGGTGGAAATTTATGGATATCTTTAATTACCTAATAGTTTTCCTTATGAAAGAAGACACAGCTCTGCGAAAAGTTAGAGCAATAACAAATATTTCATACAAAAGAAAATGACTACACAGGAATCACAAAAATGTTACCTTTTAAGCGATGTAGTATATTATTGATGGCATTCGTTGATTCTCAGGTTAAAATTAATTGAACAGCAAATAAAAGAAATCATCGTAAAAATTAATAATAACAAAACATCAATGACATAAAATAACAAAAATGGACACATAAAATTAGCCGTTGCCGAGTTCAAGATGATACTTAAAACTATTTCAGGCAAAAACCTACAGATGGTCCTCTTCAAATTCTTCGACGGCTGATAATATATTTTTACATGTTACGCCACTACAATTACGACACATAGCTGAACAACAGAGCCCTTTTTTAAAACATTTACAGTTTGTGCCGCAACCAGACTTACAGTTACAAAAGGTCATCTGTATAACATCATCAGGCGCAAAATTTAATGTAGAATGAACAGGTAATAGAAATTTTCTTCCATCGCTTCCCTCTTCCTCCTTCCATCCCCACTCTCTCGGGTCGAGAGAACTATTTCCAAGCCAAACTTGAATTTGATAGTAAACTCTAAGGCTGTGCTGTCTCGCCGCTGATGATGTTGGTGGAAGAGATGCCATCTCAAATTTAGATTTTAAAGACATTTTTGCAACTTTCCTTGAGTACATTATGAAGCGGCACTCATCCAAAGTTTGGGTTAAGTTGGCTCCCCCATAAAAATGAATTAAATATTTTTCGCCTACTGTGCCTATTATTTCCTTATCAACATTCGACTCATTAAAAATTAGAACATCTTTTTGTAAAGAAGAATCATTGACTAGGAGGTTGTATGCTTTTATTTTACTTGTCCTGAAAAGAGCGGAAGTGGTGTCGCATCCTGTCATTGCATAAGCGAAAAGAAGTAAAGAACTAGTCTGCTTAAAATCATCGACTAGTTTGGTGATATCATATAAAGTAGCAGGATTTTTTGAAGTTCCAGGAATTTTGAAAAAAATTTGAAGTTTCCTTCCCTTGACTAATGTTAACATTATAACCATAAGATCAGTGTCGGTCCCTACCATAACAACTGTTTCTCCTCTCTCAGCTTTCAAAATGGCAGTCGAGACAATATCCCGATCTGCATCGGCCTCTGCAATAAACACCTCGACCCCAACTTTTTTTAACTCCTCACCGACAGCTGTAATGAGCTTTTTCTTATTTTGTGAATTCGAGAGAAATTCAGCCTGCGTTTTCGTACATTGCATTTCTAAACTGAAATTTATTGTGGCTGATGTTTTTTTTGCTCTTCTTAATTGTTCTTGACCTTTTGTAGTTGAATAAGCAGGATAACCGTCAAAAACAAAAGATGAATGCTCAGTGTATCGCTTAAGAGCACAAGATACATACATTTTGACAATATCTCGGTAAGTAGCAAGCTTCGGCCACACAACAGAATTTAAAAAGTAGCCACCGTCAATGACATGTCGAATTTTCTCGTTAAATTGTTTATTTTCAATTACACCCGAAGAAAACAACGACATGAACCGCGATTTTTTACTTTTTCTCATCATAATATTATTTACAAACATTGAAGTTGGGTAGGGGCTCAATTCGTACTTAAAGTATGTTTTAAATTCCTCTGTTCCCTTTGCTAAACAAATGACCCTATTAAAAAGTTGGTCGGGATTAATACTGACAACATCCGATTTAATTATTACACCAGTTTTAGCCATAACGATAGGTTTGACGGCCAATTTGCGCGGTAATGTTACCTCCTCAAAATTTTTCCCCGTACTGTTCCCCATTAATTTTAACCCAACTCTAAAAGCATCGTCGCAGTTAATATCTTTGCTTGCGACCAGCCCCGTAGCAATGCACACAAGATCGTCACTTTCTTGCTTGAAAGGTGAATGAAGCTTAAGCCAGGACAGAAATTTTAGTCTATCGAATTGGTCTCTTTTTATCCTGCTATCTCTTAATTCAACATGTTGTTCACTTGAGGCTGAAGAAACACCGGCAAAATGTTGAAGGGATTCATTTATTTGTAAAAATTCTGGAGCGCATAAAATGTATTTAGCTAAGGTTCTTTCACTTAACCCCCTCCCATGAGTTAGGCCTCCAACAGATTTTAAGGACCTCATCAAAGACTGCTCAATGCACATATCAGACCAGGTCCCAGTAAAAAACTTTTCATTTCTGCTTACAGTAAAGAAACCCTTCTGAGTAAAATTTTCAAACTCGGCCGGCGATAATTTTTTCTCGAGCTCAGTCATTTGCTGTAAATATAATTGGGCTGATTTTGCGTAATTAAAGTGCCCAGCTGCATTAAAGTAAGGTAACATTTCTTTTACAGTATTTAAATGAAGTTGCCAGTCACCACTACGTTCAGCTCTTATGAAAAGAAATACTAGGTCGACTAAAGCTATCTCTTGCAACCACAGTTTTGCCGTTCGATTACCTCGACTCAAATCAGAAGTTACATCGGAAAATTTTTCAGCGGCTTCTTTTACAGTGTCAGAAGCAATTGCCTCGTCAATTGAAAGTTTTTTATCGATTAAATTTTTTTTGAGAGCAGAAATTTTCTCGAGTATCGACTTGATTTCTGGAAATTCCTCACACAAAATTGCGATCAAAGCTGACTGAGTTAGCATATGAGCACGATATGATCGTGCATAAGCATGACCTGAAATCAAGTGCTTGATAGTGGCCTTGCCGTAAACAGTCCCCCATAATTCTTCGATTCCACTACCCTCCATAAATTTGCCCATGCATCCAAGAAAAGAAAGTAATAAATGAAATCCACCGAGTCTAATTTGAACATTGGACAGATCATCGTCATCAGCAATTATTTTCATAGCTTTAACATACAAAGGTTGATCAAAAGTAACTAATGCACAACTTTTACCAGCTTTCTTCGCTTGTTGAGACGCAAAAGTCAAAGCAGAAAAAATACTCGTCAAATTTGCAGGATCTAAATTTATGGAAGGCAAAGCTAATATGTAACTGGTCTGGTATTCAAACTCCTCAGATTTCGAACTTCTGAATATTGAGTGCATGAAACCATGCCATCCAGAAAAGTTATTCTCATCTAGTTCTCCATCTGATACTCCTGACAGCCAAAGTAAATTTAATGGATCCAAAGATATTAACTTCATAATATTAGGACTTGATTCATTTTCGTCTTTCTTAAAACCTAGTTCTGATGCTAGATCTGAAAATGAAAATTTTTTCAACCCCAGCTTCTGGTTGTCATGAGGATACTGATGAATAGGAATGTTAAAAGCTCCCTCAAATTTTGTCGATGCTACCCTTGGAATTTTAGGATTATGGATCAGAGACTTTGATGGTGTGATTACCTCAATGCCTCCTAGCGCGTGGAACGTATCATGCCCATCAATCGTTCGAACATTAATGTCAGCATTATCAAAAACGTACTGGGAGAAAGCTTCTGGTGCAAACTGGGGTCGGCCAGCATTTACTAGTGCTGTTAGATACAACTCTACTTCGTGATAAGAGATGCAAACACCTAAGTTACTCAGTAGCTCTATTAAATGTCTAGATATAAAACATCGTGATAAGTAAAGACCCAATGCACAATGAATGGGAGATAAGAAAGTTCTAGGACGACAAGCTGCAATTATCGCGTGACATATATTAGTACGTTTTCTGACAATATCTACCATAACATCACGTGCTTTATTTTTACGTTGGGTTAATTGAGAAACAAAAAAAAATAATTTTTCTGGAATTAAATTTCGACCACCATCTCTTATGACGTCTGATGTTGGATAGATATCTTTTTCATAAGGAAAAAAAAGTATTTCTTTGCGAATAATATTAGCTGCAGCCTGTAAAATCTCCATTTTTTGTTCATCATTCTCATAGTTGTCTCTGGATAAATACATCTGGTCCTTTAATTTACTGCTACTATCTGCAAGTATTAAATACAGGTCTCTCTTTCTCGAGAAAAAAAATATTCTATCTCCGAACTTTTCATGCAGATTAAACCTAATAAAATCCTTAAGGTAACGATAGCTAAATCCGAGATCTTTATTCACTAATGCCACTAAATCACTCACCAAATGTTGACAGTCATCTGAGTCATTTAAATACACACACAACTTTTCAAAAGCTCTTTGAAGCTTTTCATTCGATGGTCTTCCCACTGACTTTTCAACTCCGTCTTTCAAAAACTTAACATAACAGTCCCTGTGATAACGAGCCTCCGATGCCACCAGATCATGAGCTGCTGTGATTCTTGTATGAACAATGTCTCCCCAATCATCCTTCCTCTGTAAACACCGGTTTAAAACTGCATCCTTGATCTCGAAAGTTTGCACTTCTCTGACTTTCTTTTTGTATTCTTCCCGCGTTTTTTCATTCGTAACCGCTTCCTCGCCACAAAAAAAGCAATGCCGCTTAAAATCAAAACTATCAACGGATGAACGTAACAGAAACGGTTCGCTGTCATTTTCACTTGTTACACTAACACTAGGAATTTTTTGACTTGCTAATATGCTACTTTTACGAGTATAGTTCTTCCTGCATACCTTATGCAACTGAACTGCCGATAACCCATCCAGTTTTTTAGCCAACGCATCTTTTCTTTGAACACTAGCAGCGATCAAAGTGCTCAGTCCCGCTGACACGTTGACCACTTCACCACAATCCAAATTATCACCGCAAATTAAACACTGTCCAGGATCCATATTTCAATCAGTTTCCGTCAAGTTTTAAACAAAAAAAGTCGCTAAAGTGGGACATTTCAACTTGTTGTCGCGGCTCGTTTTTGCGTTATCAAAAATAAGTTCACGATCCTTACGAAAAGTTCACTGAGTTCGGCTCCCATGATTTTAGTTCACGTCACAGGCATATATTATCGAGTAACACATTTGCGGGTCTGAACACTTTTACATGTCTCGAAACGTTTCCTAGCTCTCAAAATTACCTTAATGTCCGTTAAGAAAGGTTTAGCGAAACTTTATTGATTTCTTGCAAATAGTCAATAAAAGGTGAAGTTCCAGCACATTTATTCGATTTTGAGCTCAGAATCGCGTAATCGGATGTAGAGAATTTTTGAAGATCTCCATGAAACACGAAGTGAAAAGCAGAAAAGGCACGATAATGACGCGAATAGATTTCAACAGACGGCTAGGAGCCACGGATCAGGACTGAGTTGGTTTGGTGGGAAAGTGAAAATTTTTGACCTGAAAACCCATTTTCAGAGTCAAAATGCAGCAAGACTCTTCTCCCCTCATCCTTACCATACTTTTGCAAAATAATAGAGGATTAAGAAGGCATCTTCCGTCGATCCTCTCACATTCTTGCAGCATAATGAGAGAATGAACCCTTCCACCGCGGTCATTTTCAGTGCGCGCCTCATACAATACATCCTCCGACTCCTGGAGCCATCCTGGCTCCTACCCTCAGATTCCGAACTTGACCGCTGGTCGGCACTTTGTCTACAGGATATTTCCATTCATTTTTCCTAGGAATTAAAGTGAAAGCGGAATGCTGCACAACATGCTCGGCACCGTCTTTTCATCGAGAGGTCGTGTTTTTAAGGATGCTTCGGCCACCATCTTAATCCGTTCATAGTCAAATGAAGCGAGGCAATACTGCCATGCCAATAAAGAACGCCGTATGAACATTCGGACGTTGCTCAATTTCCTCCGATATAATAAGAATTTTCCCTCAAACCTGTAAGTAGTTTCTTACAAATTTTCAGAGAATCGAATACTCACTTTTGTTTACGGTGTCTGAAAGGGTATTGAAAAAATATTCATAATTTTACTTAGGTATAGAAAAATATTGTATAGGAGGAAATTCGGCAACATTCAAACATTCATGAGGCGTTCTTTCCCAGTACGGCAAAATATTTGCCACAAGTCATAGTATGTTCAGAAAAAATATAACGATTTCGATTGAAATCAACTTATGTATCAAGACGATCGCCAGCTCCTCAAGTCGCCAGGCGCACCGCTCAGCGCTGGGTGCGGCACGGCGCTGCGCTGCATCGCACCGCGTCATGTTTCGGCCCTCCTCCCACCCCACTCATTGGCCAAATCCTTATTTCAAGTGATCCATTTGAAAGGAAATTGCGTCCCCTACAAAGTTTCTAATAACTAAAAAGTTCATAGTTGCAGTCAAAAAAAAGTTATCACGCTCTTTATGAAAAAGAAGCAATTCAATTTCTAAAAAATTGCGCTTTTTTTCAAAATTTTCAGCTACTTGTGGGAAAATTTGTATAATTGTTAAAAATTTCTTAAAGAGCATATTAAGACAGACATTTTAAAAAAAAACAGAGATGTCTAGCTACATTAGGGGCTGAGTTATAGCGCTTTAAATCAGAGGGGGATTTTTCAACTTTGAGGGGGGCTAGCAAAAATCCCTAGGGGGGGTAAGGGTGGGGACTTTTGGGAAAATGGTCCTCTTAATGGGTACTATCAATGGGGGGAAAAATTAGCTTGTTACTAATTTGTTCCGCAAACCCCCTCTTTTTTCCCTTCGTTTACTGGACTAATAGTATTAGGTTTGTTAGAGCAGTAGCGGCTAATGTTAGCTAACAGATTACATCTATTACTTTGGGAGAAGTTTCTTCTCGCTACAAGTCGTTTTTTGTTTAAGCTGTACTTATGGTTACATAAATCCAGACATATTCTTTGGCCAGCATGATCTGAGAGGCCAGGGTCCCAATTTAATGCAACACTATAATCTATATTTGTAACACAGTTATCTGGAAGAGTTTTAGATTATTTGGTAATACGAGTGGGCTCTGACAAAAAAACACGGGAACTATTGATAGACTTAAGTAGGTTGTCGAATCTGACTACGTTGGGGTCAGTAGGATTTAAGAAGGCAAGGTTAAAATCACCTGCCATTATAAAGCTACATTGCTTATTAGAAAGCCAGTCAAGTAAAATTTCAATTTTGCTGAAAAAGATCTCTAGCTTATCAAGAGTATTATTCAGAGGGTTTGAGGGTCTATAGATGGAAATGACTGCTAGTGGTTTCCTAAGCATAAATTCATCGATTTGTTTGATAAGTACAGCACTAATTTCAAAAATTCCCTCGATAGCCAAATCCTTAAGTTCTTGAGTTACAGAGAAAGAGATACCATTTCTTAAGTAAATAGCTGTACCACCCCCTCTAGTCTCGCTTCTAGAGAGAAAGTCTGCACAAACAAGTTTTTGAAGAGGAAGAGGTTTATTATTCTGAAACCAAAGCTCAGTCATGCATAGACAATCCACCCTACCTATCTTACTGAGTTCAACATTGAGCTCATGATGCTTGTTTATAATACTTCGAATATTGAGATTAATACAATTGAGCGATACTCCACCTTGGTTACATGATCTAAATTGTGGTTGAGCGCACATTATGGGTGGACAGTTATTCGAAAATTTGGCAGAGTGATGTATGGAATTAGTTTTAGCCATCTTATTTGAAATATTCGGCCAGCTTATGTTGGCCACGTCAGTATCTACTAGTTAGATATCATGATAATAGATAAGAGATGTCATGATTGCATTTACGAACAACTTTTTCCCCCATCTATTTAGGTGAAATCCATGGTTAGTAAAATGGACTCTGTTAACTACTTTGTTCGGAAGTGTTTGAACATTATTAGTATTTGAGGCTATCCTCGAAAACATATTGTTCAAAGCACCTCCGAATTGACAAAATTGATTATACATGTTTGGTGGTAGGTCGTATCTAGGTAGTACTTCACGAATAAAAATTTTTGGTTTTTTAACACGCTCAATTATGTCATTCAATTTTTGATAGCACCGATTGACATTCCATCTGCTGTGAGAATTAAAGTTGTTAGAACCACCAATGATAACTACAATATCTTCCTCAGTGAAATTTTTAGTTAGATCTTCTAGATTTTCAATTACATGTTCGATCATTGCATTTGGTTTGAAAATAGATATTATATTAAAATTGCTATTACTACCTAAAATATCTTTGAAAATAAAAGATAAACCTCGACCATGTGAAGCACTGAGTAATAATAAGTTTCTTTTAGTACTATTTGGTAGGGCATCTGGAATAAAAGAGTGATTTAACTTCTCCCTCAAAATTTCAGCTGATACACTGTCAGGATTATTTTTTGGCCTTATATTGGTATTAGTTTTTGATAGTAGGATGTCATCAGTGTTTTCATGTGACAATAGCTGATCAGTTAGTTTCTTATTGTCCCTAATTAGTTTTTGGATTTTTATATTACTTAACTTTATTTCAGCTAATTGGGATTCGATCTCTTTTGATTTATCATTTAACATTTTATTCAGTTTTACAACATTTTCATTTAAAGATTCGGACTTATTGCTTAAAATTAAATTTGTGTTTGACAGAGAATTGTTTGCTTTTTTTATATCGGTTATTTCTTTGATTAGGGCATCACGTTGACAATGAAGCTCTTCAACACATTCTTTACTTCTCAAATCGCTTTTTAACTTTACAATTTCTTTGTTTAAATACTCAATCTCTTTCCTCATTTTTAAGTTTGAATTTGACAGAGTACTATTTTCATTTTTGATGTCGGTAATTTCTTTGATCAATGCGTCACGTTGACATGTTAGTTCACATATGCGGTCACCTTTCTCCGGTTCCAATCGGAAAATTTCCTTTACGTGTGAAGGTTGTTTATCCGATTTCCGTATCACCTGTGGTATCCTGTTGTTTGAAGGAGCTTCCTCGTGACTGACGATAGATGATGTGTCGGAATTTGTTGACATTTTCTTGTTTAGGGTTTTCTTCCTATTCTGGTCGCTAGAGGTCGTTGAGTTATCAGGTGTTGTTGTTGCCGCTTTTCTCCTTTTTCTCTTCGCCTCATCACCTGCTAGTGTGTTACTCTTAGCCAGTTTTATCAGGGTATGGGTATGTGGATTGTGGATGTGTGTGATGCTTTCTTGGTTTGCGATGTTGACATTTCGGGTGTTGCAGTTGGTGAAATACAGTAACTGAGCCGATGGTCCGTGTGGCAACAAGGGAACGGCTGGAATTTGATGTAGGTACCACAACATTGGGCGACTTTATCCGTGAGCTTCGCTTTGTGCCGCGCGGTGAGTGATAAAGAGACATATCAGTGCAAGAGCGATTGAATTCTCTAGATTCTTAGAATTCCTTTGATGGAGCGCAGGCTTTAAGTGATTTGTATTTCCCAGTTTCAAGAGTGGCGGTAGCCACCCCCGGTCGAGGAAAATGACGTCCTACTAAAGTCCCGATTACAAACGGGTGGCCGACACTCTTAGTCACAGGCAACTCCCTTAACTTGAAAATTGATTCGGTTGCCATTCGACTGCAGCCCAAACGACGGCACGGATTCCTACGATCTTGGTGTCTACGGACGCATCT